AGTTATTGGGTCTCTCTCCAGTGATTCATTTGATGCTAAACGTGCAGTAAGTACATTTTGCCAGTTCCATGCTTCTGTATTTTGCCAGTTCCATGCTTCTGTATTTGTGAATTTTTTTTCCCTTTCGAAAGTGGAAAGAGAGTGAAATACTTTACCATGCACAATGTTGCAAGTTTCTTTTAACGAAGATTGTCTCTTGCAAATAAAGATATGTGGTAAATATTACCTCCCCAACACGAGGAACAAGAAAAATTTACAACTGGTAGTTAATAGAACAAGTGACATTTTCCATGTTAGGCCAGTATTTGATGTCTGAATGCATCTGACTCGAATGTGTTGCTTCATGCATTTTTCCTTATCTTGACTGTGTAACAAGTTCTTGCATGTCTAAATATTCTGGCTTTTTGAAGATCCAACTGTGCAATTGACATTCAGTTCGCAGCTTACAAACTTGAAGGCTGAAAAATTTAGTTTATACATCTTACAAGCATTTGAGTCAGTTCTTGGATCTCCTGTAACTATTGAAATCAGATGTGATTTCAAGGACACTTCATGGTTATATCAGAAGGTTGAAGCCAAATTGTGATAGTTCATCTGCTATAGAATTGGTGGGAATGAATTGTTGAAAGTATTGAATAAACACAGCTTATTTGAGATTTACCTGACGATTCATTGTCAATGCATGATTATGCGATTTGTTTCTTGTTTATGCATTTGACGTTGGGGAAACTTTTAAATGCCAATTGACAGTAGATAAACTGAGAACACCAAGAAAAGAAACTAGATAATTTTCTGTGTACTCCAAATGCAAACATAGGTTTTCTGAAGAGAAACTTAAATGATTCAATCGGAAAGTAAGCATATTTTTTCGAATTCGGTGTCATTGTTTCTCATGAATTTCAATATATGCAGTTTTCAAGATTGAAAACTGGAACGAGGAAGCCACAAGCTTTGCTAAAATTTGCCTGCTGTGGAAGGTATCTCCCTGCTAATTCTTTAGTAATGGTAGGCATCGTAGTGGATTAGTTCAAAGGCTCCGACTCGAATATCAGTTGTAGTGGATCTCGAAGTATGTTAATTAACCATTAATTCTAAATTTCTAATATTGTATTACCATCATGACATTTTTCATTATCATTACTTTCATAAGAAATTGTTCTCCTATTTACTGTGGGCAGGATAAGACTGACTACTTATTGATGTGGTAGGAGAACCTTACTTATGACTCTCTCCAAATATGAGAACCGTAAATAATGTTCTCTCTAAAGTGGACAAGATAAGACTTCTAATTGTAGGTAGGAGAACAGGAACGCGCTCTCATATATATGTGTTAATCTAACCTCAGTTCCTCAAGCACTCGAGAACGAGTTCAATTAGCCAATAATCATGTTTAAACAGATACCCGAAGTTTAGGGTATTGTAAAGTTTCTATCTTGTAGTATTTTGTTCAAGATTTGTCCTTCATGTTCTTGCAGTGGTTCAGATTCTTTCCTTCCAAGTTAGTCTAAATAAATAATGCACCAGAATTTTGACCTAATTTCCTTAGTCCAAAGGGAAGACCGAACTCAGTTTAGACCATTCACAAATCCGTGGTCGGCTGCTTTGAATCTCCCAAAGGGATGGATTTTCCTGAAACTTTAAATTATTGAGCTAGAAAGTCAAAAGTAACAACTTTTTATTTATACTGGCAAGGGTTGACACCACCACTTGAAAACTTGCTTCGTTCGAGCACACGGAAAACTTTATTTCATCGCGTATTTAACACTAATGTTTGTCGTGAACACATTCTAGTGCAAGTTGATCATTGTTTGTGAATTGGAGAAAGTCTAGAAAATCTGAATTGAGTTATTGGTGGGGGCTGGCGAGTGAGTTATTGGAATACAGATATGAGATTCTCTTATTGATGTGGGAATGAGGTCTTGACATCTAGCACCACTTGTGCTATAGTATAAGTGGTTCCAAGTGATAGTCTCGATTAAAGGTAAAATTAAGCCCCGTTCGAGCTCAATTTTTGGGCCAAAATACATTTTGGAGGAATGTTTCATTGGAGAATGTGTGGTTAAAAAATAAAATAAAATTGTGATTACATATAAAATTATTTTATTGGAGAACGTATGTCTGAAAATGAGTTTTAAAAAAAATGGGGACCAAATATAGACTGAGTGATTCATTTAATTATACATCTCTATTAATATCACATTAATATCTAAGGATGACAAAAAAACCCGATACCCACTGGGCTCCGCCCCGAAGGGGCGGGGAAAACCCGCTTAATCGGGTAATGGATTGGGGAATTTTGCCCCGGAGCGGATTCAAGGCTGGGACGGGTACCAGGGCCCCGCCCCGTTTATTTTTTATTTTTTTTAAAATTCAATACTTTAAATGAAAAATTTTACAAAATTTTCATTAGTTTTAATAGAAAATAGCAATTAAAATTATTTGTCTAAATTTAATGAATATGAGNCAATTAAAATTATTTGTCTAAATTTAATGAATATGAGTAATAAAAATAAATTATATATATAAAAAAAATTAAACGGGTAATAAACGGGGCAAGAATCCCTCCCCGGCCCTACCCGACCCGACCCGACCCGACCCGACCCGCCTTAAACGAATAACGAGGCGGAGAATTTCTTAGCAGGGCAGGGGCCGAGGCCGAAGCCGAAGCCGGGGCCCCGTTGCCATCCCTATTAATATCACTTAAATTGATATTTTAATATTATTGATGCTAAATAGCATCACTATTTTTCTTTAGGGAAATGGCATGTTGGATAGTAGCTTTACTCCCAACATGTTCAGTAGTTACTTATTTTAGCGCTTATTTTAATTATAACTTATCAATCATAATAATATTTTTATAGTATATGTTTTGTTGAAAGTCAAATTCTTGTATTGAGATTGATTAATTAGTTGAGCTATAATTAACCACATGGTTCCATGGAGATCAATACAGGTGCCGTTAGTTAATTAATTATTTATTTATTTATCGGCAAGTAAACCGAATCAATGCAATTTAATCGGGTAACACGTGGAAGAAAGCCACTCGTCTGAGCGTGAGAAATAGTACACAGACGGGCCGCAGCCGTCCCCCGGTTTTAGGGTTTTTTTTTTGGACTTTGCGTAGACTTTTAACCCTTCAAAGTTCAAACACGTCAGCCGATGGACCGGTCCACAAAACGTGCTTTACAAAGAAATTGGAGGATCAGGAATTAAAGTTTTTGATAAAGAGGAAATGAATTTTTTTTTTTATTTCTTCGCGCTTTTCGTTTTCCATGTCGAGTCTTTGATCGAGATTTTTAGAAAACGGGTTGTGCGAAAAGCCATCTTTTGAAAAATATATGATTAAAAAGTAAGAAAATATTATACATTTACGTGTAAAATTATTTATTGAAATAATATTTAATTAAAAATAAGTATTCTTTTAAAAAGATATAACAATAAATAAAAATAATAAATGGTAATGAAGCAAAAAGCAAAACGGACAATCGCATAGGGTTAAAGTGTTGAGACAAACTTTTATTTTGGTCAACTCTCGAATTAATTGAATTAAGCATCCTCACTTTGATTTTTCCTTTTCCTTTTATCAAAATAAACTAAAGGTAGAAAAATATTTGGTCAACTTTCATAAATTTATTTCTTTGAAAAGGATGAAGGAAGGACTTTTATTTCCATTAATTCATAAATGGAAAACTCTACTTGGAAAAATATTTTTCTTTTTTCTTGGTTGGCACATTAAGTCCCCTTTTAATGTATATTAAAATCAGATTTTTAATAAATTTTGATAAAAACTGATGAAAATATGTGATTGAAAAATTATGAATCACATGAAGTATGTAGTTAAAATTAATCGTTAACTCTGACTTTAACTTGGAATTAAAATTAATTTTTAATCTATAGGGGCAAAACAAGAAATAAATGATTACAATAATTCTATTCCATTTGTCTATATATTTTATCTTTAAATTTTTAAATCTTTAAAAGATTATATATAATAATAAAAAAGGCAGATATTTTCATTATTTTCAACTATACAGTTTTTCAAATAATATTATACTCAAATTCAAAAAATTTCTTTATTTTTTAACCATATATTATCCACGGTCAAAATATTATTTCAAAATGTATTTTTGTCAAAAAAATGGAACTCAAACATGCACTAAATGTCGCTAAGACAGTTCACCTTAAATTAGGCAAAATTGTACTTGATTAACTTTCTTTCCTGACATTGAGAAAACGTAGATTTTTTTCTAATTTTAGGCAAAGTTGTAATAAATTCATGAAATTAGCATTCATTTGTCATTAATTAACATAGTCATATCAAATTATGAATTACCCCACCAAATAATATTATAAGAGTAATGTTATTCATCTTCAGTGGGGATGAAAATACAGTTTATATGGCTTTAAATGATAGGTAAAATGAAATGTGAAATTAAATGACTTATTTAATTTTATCTATCATTTAATATCACATTAACATTATGTAAATTGTGTTTTCATTTTCAACGAGGATGAATACTATTACTCATATTATAAAGATGGGAGCAACATAAGGAGGGATGCAAAATGAATGGACAGAAATTTGGATATTATGGTACCAGCCCCACGCCAGCACCCACCGCCGCCCTTCTCGGCTCCTCCTCAAAAGCTTAGACCAAGGCCACTTTCAAGAAGCCTGCATAGAATTTGCTAATTGAACAAAACAGTTAAAACCAAAACAACTGTCTATTGAAAATTCAGTCAATTCATCAATCAAACACACAAAAGCCACACATTTTTTCTACTTCTTCTTCCTTGTACGCGGATTCAGTCATCCATAGTTTTTTATGCCCATAAAAACACGCTTGCACACACACAGAAGAAGAGAAAAAATAAATCTTTCTTTGTCCCATAAATTGAACACAGCCAATCTAGAAATCTTGATTTTGTACATGTTTACACTGGACATCCATTAATTTTATTTTTCGTGTAATTGACTATACATACCTTTTCTGTAATAAATGGCTTCTGCGGCAATATTTCCGTCGCTGAGGAGGAGATCTCCGTCGTTGGAGGCGTTTTTGGCGCCGGTGGATCTATCAAGCGAGGCCCTTTTGGATACTCTATGTGCTGTTTCCAGGGAGTTGGTGTCATCGTTTTCGGTCGACAATAAATTGGTGCCGTTTTTCCAGGGCAAGAATTCCAGATCCTTAATCCGAAAAATCCAGGTCTTTTCTGTCCTTCTGGATTCTTTTTGCGAAGTGGGATTGTCAAGAATGCCTTCTGGGGTTTTTTCATGTTTCAAAGAGTTGTATCTCGTGCTTTATAGATCGAAAATTTTGCTTGATTATGTTAAAGGGTCGAGTAAGTTGTGGCTTCTGATTCAAAACCATTCGATTTCGGGTCATTTCCATGATCTAAATCAGGAAATCTTGACACTTTTGGATGTTTTACCTTTAACTGAAATTTACATATCCCAAGATGTTAAAGAACAGGTAGAATTGTTAAGGAAACAATCAAGAAAGTCGAAGTTGTTAATTGATAAGAATGATGATTTGTTGAGGATGAAGTTTTATACTTTCTTGAATGAACTTGAGAATGGAAAGGTTCCTGATAAGAATCAAATGTACTCGTTCTTTGTGGAAAAATTGGCCATTCGTGATGTGAAAAGTATTAGATTTGAGATTGAATTCTTGGAGGAGCGGATTGTGAATTGTGAGGGGGATATTGAGCCTACAGCCTCAGTACTGAATGGATTTGTGGCTTTAACGCGATACTGTAGGTTCTTGCTATTCAGATTTGAGGATGAGGAGGATGAATTGGGAAGGTGGAGGCATAAGAAGACGAAGAAAGTAATGATTACCCAGGAGATTGCAGACACATTTATTACGATTCCCAAGGATTTCTACTGCTCAATATCATTGGATTTGATGAGGGATCCCGTGATAGTATCGACAGGGCAGACCTATGATCGAGTCTCAATATCAAGATGGATGGAGGAAGGGCATAATACTTGTCCAAAGACAGGGCAGATGCTCATTCGTTCTCAATTGGTGCCAAATCGGGCTCTGAGAAGTTTGATCATGCAGTGGTGTCTTGCTAATGGGATTCCATATGATCCGCCAGAGAATGTTGATTCTTCTCCTGAGAGTCACACTGCTGCTTTGCCGAGCAAGGCTGCAATGGAAGCTACTAAAGCCACAGCAGATCTTCTTGTTGAACAGCTAGCAAATGGGACGGAAAAGGGGAAGACTCTGGCTGCCAGAGAGATAAGATTGTTGGCAAAATCAGGAAGAGAAAATCGCGCTTGCATTGCGGAGGCTGGTGCAATTCCCCTTCTGAAAACGCTACTTTCATCTTCGGATGCCTTAGCACAAGAGAATTCTGTGACTGCAATGCTGAACTTATCGATCTATGATAAAAATAAATGCCGAATCATGGATGTTGAAGGGTGTTTAAGATCAATTGTTGGAGTTCTGAGATCAGGACACACGACCGAGGCCAGGGAAAATGCTGCAGCTACATTGTTCAGTCTCTCGGCTATTCATGACTATAAGAAACAAATAGCAGAAGAAGATGGGGCAGTCGAAGCATTGGCAGGGCTGTTGAAAGAGGGTACACCAAGAGGAAAAAAGGATGCGGTTACAGCTCTATTCAATCTATCCACCCACAGTGAGAATTGTGTGAGAATGATAGAGTCTGGAGCTGTAACAGCATTGGTTGGGGCGCTGGAACGTGAAGGTGTCTTTGAAGAAGCAGCTGGTGCATTGGCCCTGATTGTCCGGCAACCAGTCGGAGCAGAAGCAGTCGGGAATGAGGAAATGGCAGTGGCCGGGCTGATTGGAATGATGCGATGTGGCACTCCAAAGGGGAAAGAAAATGCGGTGGCAGCACTGCTAGAATTATGCCGAAATGGTGGGGCGGTTGCAACAGAGAGGGTGTTAAAGGTACCAGCATTGGCCGGGGTACTTCAGAGTCTGGTCTTTACGGGGACAAAACGAGCCAGGAGAAAAGCAGCGTCACTTGTTCGAGTTTTCCAGAGGCGTGAGTATCCGTCGCTGCATTATGGTGGAATGGGCGTAGGGTATGGAAACTCGACTTCAGTTAGGGATACGGGTTTTGCTGGCGATGTAGCAGTATCCATTTCAGTGCCTGTGGTATAGTGGTAACGTGCACAGCTGTGTTCTTGTTTAGCCATTCAACATTTTTTAGATATGTAATATTTGCAAAAAATTTCGTTCAAAGATACTAGAGAAAGGGGTTACTGAAAAATCATAATTTATTTGTTCATGGCCAGTTTTTTGCCTTCTTCTATTTTTTCTATATAGTTGTTTTCATCACAAAGTCGAGATTCTTGATATGAAACTGGAAGTCATCTCTAAGTAGGATTCAAAGAGATTGAGCCATGGGACCAATCTTTTCCCTGACTTTTACCATAAAGTCTAAGCTCATCTACTACTCTAAAACTCCCGTAAGTGTATGACATCGTAAACAAGTAATAAAGTAGAGTAGAAAATATCATCCGGAGAGAATTGAGAACATATATTTGATTATAACACTTAACTTTAATCGAACACACATAGGTTTCAATGATTTCAACTAGGTACGCTATCAATTCCACGTAAGAAAATTGAAAGTGTTTAGTAAGCTATTGAATTGATGATCATAATGTGTAATAATCTCTCTCAATGAGAATTAAACCACTTTTTACATACGACCATGCAATATCGATCGAGTACGTAAAAACAAATTTAAAATTAGAATATTTAATCAATGATCATGCAAAGTATGACGACATACTTATAGAACTTTACGACGTTTGCTACATGTGCTAAAATTAGATTTTGACTTCTGAAAAACAAAATGAGTCGCAATTTATTCAAAAAATGACAAAAGTATTTGAAAGTCTTAAAAACAATATTAAGCATTCAATCAATCAAGTAATTAAAGTCAAAATGAGAGAAATCGAATTACTGCCTCATACAAGATTTGTCATCATATTATAGAAAAATTTATCTTAGCACATCTTTGGAATCACGAAAACACGAATTCAACTGAAAATACATCATCCGGATGGTATGTGAAACAAGAAAAAAAATGAATAGAATTTCAATTCACAATGCCCAAAATGCTATATTAAAGTCCAGTGCATTAAATACACTTATCATTATTCAAGCAAGACGATCTTATTAGAAATTATTGAGCATAAAAAGAAGTAAAAGTTACTTATTTATCAAATATAATTTTAAAAATTACTTTATTCTACTAACCATAAGTCTTATATATCAAGAGAGTCGGATTAGAGCGATGGACCTTTGAGTCTTTGACAGTTCCTTAAATTACAGCCAGTCCACAAAAGCTAGAAAGTAGAAAAAGTGGATAGTGGTCACAAGATTTAAGGCCATGTCTATTGAAATAAATAACCAACAAAGCCTCAAGTGACCCCATTACGGAACCCGCGTCCCCAATAACAGTACAACTGCCCCTTAACTGCATGTTTATAATCCTACTCTACCCTTCACTCACTTTTTCCCTGGCAACCTCACAATCTGACGAAATTCAAACAATAACATAAGATATCTTAATAACAATGAAGTGGGGGAGAAAGAAATCTGCAACTCTAATAAGTCGGCAGGGGCCGACGCAGAGCATTAAAGTTAGGGACACAATCGAACTTGTAAAGAAGTTGAGAGAAATTTTACAATCGAAAATTTACGTCCAAAAAAATCATACCTGTGTAATTTCGCATCCGAAATTTTACATGGGATATAACTTTTTCGGATGTAAAATTTCGAAAAATTTTTATGTTATATTTTATATAAAATTTCCTAATAAAATGATGAAAATTATATTGAGAAATTTGTATCGCAAAAATAATAAATGTTAATGAAATAATTGATTTTTAAAAAAAATGTGAATTAGACGTCTTTTTTTAAGACTCATGTTTAACGTAAAATTTTTTATGTTATATTTTATATAAAATTTCCTAATAAAATGATGAAAATTACATTGAGAAATTTGTATCGCAAAAATAATAAATGTTAATGAAATAATTAATTTTTTTTTTAAAAAAATGCGAGTTAAATGTCTTTCTTTAAGATTCACGTTTAACGTATTTTTAACTATTTTCGATATCTGTTTGAACTATTCGATATGCCCATAATGTAGTTCTCGAAATAAGTTTTGAGATGACGTAAGCAATTTGTAGATTCAATTAGCGTACGATCGTCGGAGAATTTTTAAAATTAACATGTTATTGAAATTCAAATTTATTGTGATTTTGCCGATATTTGGTGAAAATTAAAATAAAAGTTTTCGTAAATTTTGATAAAAATTAAACAGTTATGAATTTCATAAAATATGTTATTAAAATTAATTATTAACTTTGATTTAAATTAAAATTTAGATTTCAATCGATACCAAACATGATTTAAAAAAAAATATATATATTCTCAAAATTTGGGGGGCACGTGCCCCCCCTAGGACCCCCCGGGTCCGCCAGTGTCAGTCATCTTAATTTCAAGAGATGTGTTTCTCGATATGATTGTGTCTTTTGACAAACATTTCCTACTACTATATATAGATCCACATGTGTTTGAATTTATATAGTTCAAAGTGATAGTTCTCATATCATTCCATTCAATATTTACAATTTAAGTTGCATAAAACACTTGCATCAAAATCATGGTTATGGTAGAGAGAGAATTCTGTTCGAGTACATTGGTCGAAGTCATTTGGAGTACTCTTATAGCTTGACGTGGTCGTTGTATCTTGGGAGATGATTACTAGAAAACGTTAGCATCGATGCGGGGCAAATTCATCTTAATGACAAAGAGTTAAACACTCGTCTCGATCGATTGCATCACTTGCATCTCCTCTTTCTTCTTTCTGATTTCATTCTAATTTAGAATACTGATTTCAGAAAGTAATCAATATTCTTTTAATTTCATGCAATGTTTGAATTGAAAAACAACATGCGTTCACTCATATTGGGAAGTGACGAATCCATACTATTATATTCGAAGTATCCACTTATGGCAAAATTTCAATTCAGTAAGGCGTGCCCACATTTTAAGTAAAAACTTATGGCAGAATTTCAATTCAGTAAGGCGTGCCCACGCCTTAAGTAAAATTCACTAATAAGGTATCTATTCTGTATATCCAGTACACAATTAGTGAAGATTGTCCAACAACATCCATCGACACGTGTTCGACTTCAATAATTATTGTTTGTCTTCTCAAATCCCATTTTGGTAAGTTGAATTCTATTTCGATTTCATGAGCATAAAAAGGTACGTGTTGATTTGAATATAATATGTACATTATCGGTGTAATATCTCCAACAATAACAAGGTAGCTTCTGTAGCATGGATTACGACAATTATTGCAGGCTTTCGTATGGCAAGGAAAGAAACCAAGGCAGGATGAGTGCAGGTGGAATTACTTGTCTTCTGTGTGATTTTGATGATGGATTGAATTTCCAATAGAAGGAATTCAGAGCTTTGACAACACAGTTCTGGACGTAACGAGGATGAAAGAATAGCAACACCAGTCACCAGGTGAGAATTCTAAATGGGGAAACAGAATTTACAACAACTAGGAGAAAACCTGAGAATGATCTAAATTCACGAAGATCGTATAGAAGGGTTGTGAAAGAGAAACTGGCAGAACTAAAAAGAGAGCCTGATAAAGAAAAATCACCCACATTAGTCGAGAAACATTTTACTTGGAATAGAACCAGCAATTGTGATCCAGACGAAAGATAAGAAATTTCACAAGTCCACGGGTTCTAATGCAAGAAGACGTGCCAAATTCTCTTCCCCCAGCGACAATCTAGGCACAATTCAGGAAAAATGCGCCTTTTGGGCTCTGAATTTGGAGGAACGTAATGCAACTTCAGAAAAGAAATCAAGTTCAGAATGCAAAATCAGATCTCTTCAAGAAATGAAGAAAGCAAGAACGAAGTTACAAATGATGGCAAAGGAGAAAACTATTGTGGTTGAGGACAAAACGGTCTTTGATAGTTTTGCCGTGGTGAAGACTTCGTTTGACCCACGAAAGGACTTCAGAGATTCGATGGTGGAGATGATCACAGAGAAAGGAATCAGAAGCCCTAAAGAGCTCGAAGAACTCTTAGCCTGTTATCTGACATTGAATTGCAATGAATACCATGATCTCATCATCAAGATCTTCAGGTAGGTATGGTTTGATCTGAACCCTATAGACCCTGCAGTACAGAATGATATCTGATTTGGTGATTATTAACTCTACAGCCAGTACCAGTGATCTTGCTTTATATTGTAAATACTTCTATTTATCATCTCTCAAGTGTTACATTTATCAGTTGCTTGACAATTCAGTGACAATCACAACAAACAGTGAAAAGCTTGTAGATCTGTGTAGAAGCAGCATCATGCATATTGTCATGCAAAAAGCTCATCTCCTTGAGTTGTTCATGTCTCCTATATTTAGAGCATCTTCTATCTCCATGCAAGTTCAAAACATTAGATTCTTTTATTTTAAAAAGAAAAAATACACTACCAATTAACTGAAATTGTTTTGGAATGCTAATAGGATAAATATTAAAGTCTAAACGAGAATGCAAAAATGGTATATATCTATTCAATCATTATCACATGTGAATTAAACGGTGAGAAGTACCTGAATTTAACACCACAATATGCACAGAAATGGTAAATTCAGCATATGAAACCTCTATCGAACTAATCAAAAAAGGTATTAGATTTGAAAAAGTGCATCCAACAAAAAGATTAGCACGCAACCTACTATATCAAGTTCTTTCAGCTGGAGTAAGATGGCCCAACTGTTCCGCAAGGTTATTTCCACTCCTCATATTCCACCAGTTTTTCCCATGATCAACTACTTTGTTTTCGTTTTTGCTGTCATCCATGTCTTTCCTTTCCAACTGAAATTCGGACACATCATTTGAACCAGGATTTTCCGTAAGAAATTGTTCCCAGAATACATCATTGACACCAGCTTGCACATTGGTAGCCATCCCAACAGGCTGTTCTCCCATGGAAGATTGCAGCTCAGGAATAATGGCAGTGTCAGGTTCAGAATTCATGTCAATCCCACAGGTCTTAGATCCAACATCAGAATTTAGTTGTGTGGAAGAAATAGAGAGGCTATCTTCACAAATTGTAGATTCATCCAACTCTATTGATCTACTACGATGCACTAAACCTTCACCAACATCAAGTACTATATTCTCCCATAGTCTTAAAGAAGACTCCACCTTCTCCAACAATTCCTTGTTGAAATTCAAAAGTGAAGTCATATTTATATTTTTTCTTGTGGAATTTTGAGAAGATTCCAAATGATTATCCTCCTTGATGGTTTCATTACACAAGTAACTGTTTCGGGGAAATCTTCTCTTTTTATCATGAATTTCCCTTTGTGGCGTTACGTTTAAAGTAACAGCTGGTTGGTCCAATGTCAGAGCCAGAGAGGACAACATATTTTTATGGCTTTGTTCTACATGTTGCAAACGTTCTGTCAAACCCTGCATTTGTAATTCAAGTCCTCGTTGATCCCGTTTGTGCCTCTGTACTCCCAAATGAAGCGATTCTTTATCACGTTTTATCCTCTCAATATCATCCTTATATCCTTGCCTCTCCGATTCAGTTAAAGGGTGTAAAGAAGTCAGATTTACTGAGGAATGACTGTGAACAGGCTTGCGTCTACGAATGTTCTTCAAAAGGTGGGGCTGACCTCTAACAAAATCCTCAGTTGCAAATTCCCATTTTTCGGGATCAATTTTCCTGAAACCCTGGTAAACATAAAGAGGCCAACATATAAAACATCACGAGAATAACTATAAAATGTATTATATATATTTAAAATATGTTAAAACACATTAAAAAAGAAGAAAAGGATTTACATATGTATTAAGCTGCCTAATGAAGCTGGAGAAGTTGTTGTGCTTGAAGAATCTGGGCAGAAGAACCCTTGCAAATTCTGGAGGATTCCAAACAATGAAGCTTTTATTGCTCCAACTCCAGGACACAACAGAGTCCAAGGAATGATCATCCACCATCTCATACGTCTTTGCAAGAAAAGGAGGTAATAAATTTGATGTAGCTTCATCCATCATAAATTTATCTAACGATCCCAAGAAGGTATAGGAAGAAACCGAAATCACCAGCCTAAAACAACCCCAATCAAATTTAGTTTAACATCCACTATTCACCACTTCAAATTTCTAAACTTAATCCGTGTCAATATTTTTGCAGTTGTATCATTTAGTACAAACAAAACCTGCAATCAATTCTGGATACACAAAAGGAATAAATTGTTACATCAAATTTACCAATTTTTCCTTCTTTTTTCGCCACTCTCTTTCAAATCCAACAAGTTATCGAGTACTTTGAAATATCCATGTAATACCACATAAAATTTCCCATCTCAATTCCTCTTAAAACTCAATAAATCCATATACTTTTCACAATCCAAATTTCAATTCCATACAACCAAACGGATAAGAAAAGCAAATCCAAACATTCCAACAACTCTCAGCATTAATTAATTCCCTGCATTTATACCCAAAAGCATAATAAAAATCAAAATTTATATACGACTTGCAAATCAAAGTCGTTAGAGCATTAATTCTTGTCTTGGTCGTCAAGCAAAGCATCAAATAAAACATAAGCAAATTCATATCTACACAATCCACACACGCATATTGCAGGTATGAATTTCTTGGAGTTTTTCATTACCTGGGAAAAGAAGAAGAACCCGTCACTTGGAGTTTTTCATTACCTGGGAAAAGAAGAAGAACCCGTCACGGGAAAGATTTTCAAAGGCTCTACGGTAAGTTGATTCGTTGGGACATTTGGATTTTATATATTTGCAATCGGAGGTGTAGCGGGCTTTGACATTTTTCAATTAAATTCTGTTTTCTTGGCAAACAAATCTACAAAGCCGCAAATAAATTGATTGCAAATATGCCCCTCAACTTTTTGAAGTGATAAAAATAGCAACCGATGTTTTCCCAAATTAAATATAATCCCATATATATATATCACAAACTTCTCTTGAATATTTATTAAATATTGACCATCTGTTTGATGTACATTTTTAAGAAAAGAATGCATTTTAAATACTGATGTGATGAAAAATATGTGGTTAAAAATTTTTTTTTTTGAATTTACATGTAATATTATTTTATTGAAAATTGTGTGATTGAAAATGAGTATTGAAAGAATGTATTTTTTTAAGAATGTGGATTAAACAAGGCCTGAATAGGAAAATTTTGATAGAATTCGACACTGCATCTGCAAGTAAAAACGAGCTTGGAAATTTTATATAATGGGTCAAGTTCTATAGATATGCAATTTCTGTTGGGCAAAAATCTTAAATTGGACATAGAGTTGGGCAGATTTTTTAGTTATCCAAAATTGAGGGTGTGTTGATGTTAACAGGGTTTTGACTTCCCACGTATTTGCATTGTCACCGCATTCGTCGAACTGACATATTTTGAGGTGCAATTATAAAATTAACTTTAATGTTTATTTAACTTTTGTGACGTCAGTGCTTTGGTGGAATTCCTTTATTTTATTATTGGAATTGCTTGGGAAGCGCGCAACAAATGTCATCCGATTTGTTTATACAATTAAGCTATTTTGTGCATCATATTTCTACATCATGGTTGCCATCGACGATGTGTAGATATCGTGATCATTGATTATTTTAAGTATTGCTAAAATCAATGGTAAAACTGTATACAACATCATGAAATGTCAAACATAATATCAACTAAGATGTAAGTATAGCAAAACTAATAGTCCGAATTTTGTCAACACCAAAGTTGTCAACAATGATTGTACAAATAGATTAATTCTTTCCCAAATTCAATGAGTTGCCTTAGTCAGGACCAAGGTGGATCTAGTCATGTTAACAAGCCGAGTCGAGCCACGAGCCGAAACTCAAAGCTCGAGCTCGGCTCAAGCAAAAAAGGTCCAAGCTTTTTTGAGCTAGAGTCGAGCCGAGTAAAAGCTCGGCTAAAAAATTAAGACTTGACTCGAGCTTTCTGGGTCGAGCCGGCTCGTGTTTTTTTAAAAATTCACTATAAATCTATAATTTTTTATAATATATTTAAAATTTGTGCAATTTATGTGTGTTATAAATAATAATTAAATATTAATATGTTAAAAAAATACATTTAAACTTAAAATATATATATTTTTTATATTACTTAGTCATGGACTGGTGACGAGCCACGGCTAGACCGACGCTCCAAAATGAGGCTCGACTCAAGCTTTTCAGGGACTGAGTCCGAGCCGCCTGAACCAACGAACTTTTTTGCCATCTCTAGGTGGATCCAGCTCATGGGGAGGCTATGCTTTAACTAATTCTGTTCACACAAAAAATAATAAATCAAATAAAATCAAAGGAGATGAAATTTTTTTTAAGGATTTTGGTCCAGAACCAAACCCAATCATAACTCTTAGGCCCAACACAAACCCTCAATCCCAAGTTAAAAGACCCACCACAAATTGAATAAAAATAATGTTCAAGAAATGCTAAAAGGTGTATATCATGGGTGGTATCCCTCCCACAAGAGGGTGGGGTCTGCAATTCTAAAAATCACGAGCCCCACCCCCCTTTGTGAGGAGACTGTGAAATTGAGTGTACAGATCCCGTAATAAGTATTACAATAGTAGCATGACTTGTGGTATAATATCATTCTAGGTGGCGATAAATGATATACTCAATAAAAGGTAAAATTAAGTGATTCATTTATTATACCTTCCATTTAATGTCACATCAATTTATCTAGACTATTGTTTTAATATCAATCGTACTAAATAACATTACTCATTGAATAATCGATCGATCATACTCCTATTTCTGTTTCGTCCAACATCATCAATTCACCATTGATTCATTTAGTAACGTTAGTTGCCCCCATTACCACTTCACGGAGTGACCCTGCTTGAGAACTGAAAAGTGAGTTCTCCCCATGCCAAAAATCATGTTAAGACCTAAGAGTTTGTTTGAACTTCATATTTAGGTCAAAATATATTTTGAAATAGTATTTTGATAAAGAATGTGTGCTTAAAAAATAAAAGAAAGATTTTAATTTTTGTGTAATATTATTTTATTGAAAAATGCATAGACAATCAGAGAGCAAAAAATGTATTTTGAAAATAATAGGGACCAAACAAGAGCTAAGT